GCCTGTGTGACAGAGTGAGACAAGGAAGGAAAGGAAGGAAGGAAGGAAGGAAGGAGGGAGGGAGGGAGGGAGGGAGGGAGGGAAGGAAGGAAGGAAGGTTGGTTGCATGGAGTCTTTCTCATAAATCAGTTGACAGTATATACATGTGGCTATGTGGCTGTCTTTCTGGACTCTATATTGTTTGGTTTTATTTATTCTCTTCTATGGACTGCTGTCTTGAAATCTGTAGTTTTAGTCCTCCTACTTTTTTTCTTTTCCAAACTATCTTGGCTATTATAAGCTCTTCCAATTTCCAAATAAATGTTAGAATCAACTTGCTAATTTTTACCTTATACCCCCCAAGGCCTTGCTGGGGTTTTGTTTACGTAATCTATGTGTTCATTTTGGGGCCCGATGCAGTGGCTCACATCTGTAATCCCAGCACTTTGGGAGGCCAAGGCTGGAGGATTGCTTGAGCCCAGGAGTTTAAGACAAGCCTGGGCAACATAGTGAGACCCTGTCTCTACAAAAAAAACAAAAAACAAAAACAAAACTAAAACCAAGCAAACACGCAAACAAACAAAGAAACAAAACCCCAAACACATAGCTGGACTTGATGGTGTGCTTCTACTCCCAGCTTCTCAGCAGCCTGGGGTGGGAGAATCGCTTGAGCCCCTCAGGTTGAGGCTACAGCGAGCTTTGACTGTGCCACAGCACTCCGGCCTGGATGACAAAGCAAGACCCTATCTCAAAACAAAAACAAAAACTGTTCATTTTGGGAGAATTGACATCAATATTCAGTCTATAGTACATATGGTATATGTCTACATTTGTTAAGATCCTTAATTTCTCTTACCAATTTGTTGTCGTTGTTAGCAACATTTTTTGCTAGCTTTATACCTGGGTATTTGATGTTTATTATCGAAACTCTGAATAGTATTTACATTTTTAAAAAATTTCCAATTACTTGTTACTAGAAATGCAATTGATTTTTGTCTATTGGCCCTATATGAGACCATGTTATTTAATTCACTTGCTAATTTTAAGAGTTTATTGATTATTTAGGATTTTCTATGTCTGCAACTTATCATCTGTGAATAATGATCGTTTTATTTCTTTCCTACCAATCTTTGTACCTTTTATTTCTTCATCGTGCCCTATTGTACTGACCAAGCCCTTTAGTACATTGTTAAAAAGAAATGATGATAATACACATTATTCTTTTTTTCCTGGATTCAGGGGGACATTTTTCAGTGTTTCAACATTAGGTATAATATTAACTCTAGGATTTGATATTTTCCTACATACAAGCTAATACATTAGCCTGTTAGTTTCATGAATGCTGGCGGAAAACATGAGACTCCTGGATCAGAGACAAAGACTTAATTACTCATGGCACAGCAAGCAGCATAGGCATCAGTGTTCATCAGTTCCTCTTTCTCTCAGCTCCCATGGGGACAACATGAGGGTCTATATGGATGCTATTCATGCAGTGCACAGGCATAGCCACTGAGGAACACTGAGCCTGGATAATCCATTGCTTTTATAGTCAGCAGTAAGCAAGCCTGCTGTTTGTGCTCTTACCTCTTCTCTCAAGGTTATCAGCTCCATAAATAACCCTGGGAAATGAGTAGTTAGAATCTTGCATTCTAGGCATACCCAGCAAGATGCCTAAGAATGTGAGAGACCCACGGTGACTGTCTTTCCCAACAGTAGGTATTTTGTAGATGCTACTCATCAAGTTGAGGAAGTTTTCTTTCTCATTTCGTTAAGACTTTTTTTTTTTTTACATTAATGAGGGCTGAATTTAAAAGAGAGGAGCAGATCCCCCATGCAAAAATTCAGTCTGGGAGGCTGCCCTCTGGGGCAAAGATAAGGAGTGTTGAGAATGCAACAAGCATGGTATGGAGCTGTTGAAGTGGGAATGTTTCATGCCATCCTGCTTGGAAGGTACAGCATTTGAAGACATCCCTTTAACCAGAGGAAGGCCAGGAGGAGAGACCAGAAAGGAGGGCTTAAAGTGAGCACTATACAAGAAGGAACTCTGTTCCCAGATCTTTCTGGATAATTTTTGACTCTTTAGTATCTAGCACGATGCCTGGCTATCATATATCATAGGCTATTTGGTTGATAAAAGAATACTAAGAGCGTAATATGTAGTAGTAATAATAATAATATCAAAGTGTGCATTTAGGTTTTAAAGAAGAGACACTTGTATTCCTTTGGTATTCATCTGGGGAAGTACAGTGAGTGAGTGCCTGTGAGTAGAGGAAACCGTGAGGTAATTGACAACATGGTGCTACTTTCTGGGTGGTCAGTTTTACATGAAATAATTGATGAATTGTTTAATGATCAGGAAGCTTGGTGCATAGAGAATAATAGTGCTCTTTATAGCTTGTATAATTTTAAGTTTATTAAGTTCTTGTAGCTGATAAGCAAAACACCAAAGTTTTCGTAAACATTTAAATGTTGATCACTAATTCAGTTCTTCCCCTTAAACAATGTAGTCTTCCTTTAGTATAACTTATTCTTTTTTTTTTTTTTTTTTTGAGACAGAGTCTTGCTCTGTCACCCAGGCTGGGGTGCAGTGGCCGGATCTCAGCTCACTGCAAGCTCCGCCTCCCGGGTTTAGACCATTCTCCTGCCTCAGCCTCCCGAGTAGCTGGGACTACAGGCGCCCGCCACCTCGCCCGGCTAGTTTTTTGTATTTTTTAGTAGAGACGGGGTTTCACCGTGTTAGCCAGGATGGTCTCGATCTCCTGACCTCATGATCCGCCCGTCTCGGCCCCCCAAAGTGCTGGGATTACAGGCTTGAGCCACTGCGCCCGGCCATAACTTATTCTTTCAGGCACTTTAAACATCTTAAAGTGAAGATGTTTATAAAGAATACACACAAGGCTGGGTGCGGTGACTCACACCTGTAATCCCAGCACTTTGGGAGGTCAAGGTGGGAGGATCACCTGAGGTCAGGAGTTTGAGACCAACCTGGCCAACATGGTGAAACCCCATCTCTGCTAAAAATACAAAATTGAGACGGACATGGTGGCGGGAGCCTGTAATCCCAGCTACTCAGGAGGCTGAGGCAGGAGAATACCTGGAACGTGGGAAGTGGAGGTTGCAGTGAGCTAAGATCCTGCCACGGCACTCCAGCCTAGGTGATAGAGCAAGACTCCATCTCCAAAAAAAAAAAAAAAAAAAAAGAATAACATACAATTGGCCAGATGGGGTGGCTCACGCCTGTAATCCCAGCACTTTGGGAGGCCAAGGCAGGCGGACCACTTGAGGCCAGGAGTTGGAGAACAGTCTGGCCAACATGGTGAAACCCCATCTCTACTAAAAATACAAAAACACAAAATTAGCCAGGTGTGGTAGCACACGCCTGTAATCCCAGCTACGGGAGGCTGAGACAGGAGCATTGCATGAACCCAGGAGGTGGAGGTGGCAGTGAGCAGAGATCACACCATTGCACTCCAGCCTGGGCGACACAGCAAAACTCTGTCTCAAAAAAAAAAAAAAAAAGAATACATAGAATTGTTACAAGTTTATTGCTACACTTACACTTAAAAGCTATTCTAAAATATCAGTGATGTGAGTTTAGTTCATTTCTACATTACTTTATACTTTTTAATTCCTTCCTATTGTTACTGTTATTAATTTTAGTATCTTCCTGAGGTTTCAGTAATATTATTTTTTATTTTCTGGGTTTCAATTATCTTAAGTCAAGACCGATTAATCCCAAAAGTCTTCTCAAACTAAGCAAAGGAGTTGTTTTTTTGTTAGCACTTGCAACGTGATTGTACAATCCAAGCACATTGAAAACTGGTTTGACCTAGGTATATCCAAACTTAAAATGTGTGTTATCTTTGAGCAATTATGCTTTTAGGAATTAATTGTGAAGGATTCATATATGAGTAAAATGATACATACACAAGGATATTTATTACAGCATTGTTTGTTATAATGAAAAACTAGAAAAAGCCTAAATGATGATTGGCCACAGATTGGTTAAATAAATTAAGTTATGGCCAGGTGCAGTGGCTCATGCCTGTAATCCCAGCACTTTGGGAGGTAGAGTCGGGCGGATCACAAGGTCAGGAGATCGAGACCATCCTGGCTAACACGGTGAAACCCCATCACTACTAAAAATACAAAAAATTAGCCAGGCCTGGTGGCACACGCCTGTAGTCCCAGCTACTCAGGAGGCTGAGGCAGAAGGACGCGGAAGTTGCAGTGAGCCAAGATTGTGCCACTGCACTCCAGCCTCAGCGACAGATGGAGACTCTGTCTCAAAAGGAAAATAAAAAAGTTAAGTTATATCCATTTAATGGACTACAGTGTAGCTATTAAACCAGTTATGTAACACAATATATACTTATTGGGACCTCATTCCAAGATACATTAAGTAAAAATAGCAATTTTTACTGTATAAGTAGTGTGTATAATATGAGTTAAAAAAATCTTTATGGCCGGGCGCGGTGGCTCAAGCCTGTAATCCCAGCACTTTGGGAGGCCGAGACGGGCGGATCACGAGGTCAGGAGATCGAGACCATCCTGGCTAACACGGTGAAACCCCGTCTCTACTAAAAAATACAAAACACTAGCCGGGCGAGGTGGCGGGCGCCTGTAGTCCCAGCTACTCGGGAGGCTGAGGCAGGAGAATGGCGTAAACCCAGGAGGTGGAGCTTGCAGTGAGCTGAGATCCGGCCACTGCACTCCAGCCTGGGCGACAGAGCAAGACTCCGTCTCAAAAAAAAAAAAAAAAAAAAAAAAAAAAAACTTTATATGTGTGTATGTGTGTGTATATAAACATATATTTTCCAAGCCATGTTGAGTTGCCCTAATCCATCCTGTTCCAGTTATAGCCTGGTATCTTTGAAGCTAGGGATGATAGAGACATTTGCCCATTCTCCTCACTGATACCCTGCAAGCATTTCTGAAGCATGAACAGAAGGGAAATGATCATTCTGGGCCGGAGCTGTGAGGAAAGTGGGGTCTTATCTATCTTCTTTTGCCTCTCCCAGCTCTACTCTTCTCCAAAAGAAGAGCCAAGAGAAGGTCCTTTTCTACAAATATCAGAGCCATGGCTCAGGTGAGATTCTGTTTCCTTTTGCTCAGATAGAGTGATTTTTACCTCTAGTACCTGTAAACATTTGTTTTCCTCATTATGATGCTTTTTGATGTTAGAAAAACAACCTTTCAGAAAGTTTGGTTATGAGCAATGCCGGAATTTTGCTGTAAAGGAAAGGATCTCTAACAGGCCAATTCATAGAAAAAAAAGAATTGATTAGATAATCATTGTTAGAAAATTTACACATACCCCCCCTTTTTTTTTAATTTGAGATGGAGTCTCGCTCTGTCTTCTAGGCTGGAGTACAGTGGCACAATCTCGGCTCACTGCAACCTCTGCCTCCCGGGTTCAAGTGATTCTCTTACTTCGGCCTCCTAAGTAGCTGAGATTACAGGCGCCCACCACCACACCCAGCTAATTTTTGTATTTTTGGTAGAGATGAGGTTTTGCCGTGTTGTCCAGGCTGGCCTCGAACTCCTGACCTCAAGCGATCCACCTGCCTCAGCCTCCCAAAGAGCTGGGATTACAGGCATGAGCCACTGTGCCCAGCAAAAAATTTATATTCTTAACTCACAGTTACGTATTAGTCAGCCAAGTGGTTGAATAACAAATTTCTCTGAAGAAGTTTTAATTTAGATTAATGTCCATCAGAAAATCCCCTATCAATTGCATCAAGAATACTTATTTCTTTCCATTAAGAGATTAAGAATTATGTAATGTAAAAATGATCTGACCCAGATCAGGTGTGGAATAATTTTTTTACGCTGGTTTCCAGGGCCCCCTGTCAGGAAAAGGACATGCATTTCCTCCTAAACAACCCCTAGTCTCCTCTCCAGTTACCCCCGCTTTTAAACAATGTTTACATACTCGTTTACGAAGTCCTTTAGCATCTCCTATCTCAGGCTTCTACCAAAAATCCTGATAGGACAGAAATGTGTTCCCCACATTGAATTAGTATGAATCTAATTTGCTTGGACAGTGATTTGATGGGATGAAAATAAGTAATTAGGGGCACCTTATAGGGAAAAGCCCTCATTAGCTCTGTAGACCTGGGTTTTCCAATAACAAAATACATGCTGTGGTTTTGTTTGATTTCAGTCCTAGTACAGGGCAAGGCCTCCTGGTTAATGAGCCTTTTATGTTCGAGAGTGTGACTAGTGGTTCGTACAAAGCTCTCACACCTCACTAAGCATCCATGAAAAATTGACGTCAGTGGCCAAATGTGGTGACTCACACCTGTAATTCCAGCATTTTGGGAGGTTGAGGCTGGTGGTTTGCTTGAACCCAGGTGACTAGCCTGGGCAACATGGCAAACCCCGTCTCTACAAAAAATACAAAAATTAGCCAGGCCTGTTGGTGCACGCCTGTAGTCCCAGCTACTCGGGAGGCAGAGGTGGGAGGATCACATGAGCCCAGGAAGTCATGGCTGCGGTGAGATGTGATCATGCCACTGCACTTCAGCCTGGGTGACAGAAGAAGACCCTGTTTGAAAAACAAAAACAATGATGTCACTAATACCAACGGTGAAACTGGATCATCCCTTCACTAATTTTCTGTAGCTTAGTTATAAGGGGAATTTACAGCTGGGCAGTAGGTGGTTATAAATAAGATTGGGCCAGTGTTGGAGAGGTCTTTAAAGATCACCTGCAGCCTGAATTTCTAAAGGCCAAAGAACAGATATCATTTATAGGCTTCTAATAAATATTATTCAAATTATGTTACAACAAATTTGAATAGTATTTGTTTTAACAAGGAACATTTATTATTGTATAATAGTCTGGCATAGGAATGGATCAGAGTCTTAAATTATATGCTAATTTTATTTTCTAAGATACAAATTTTTTACAAGTAATTTTACACATGTCTACAAGGGAAGTAGTTCATTTCTGGTTTTGTCCCATTACCAGTCCCACTCCAAGCAACTCTTGAAAATTGGTTTACTACCACTTTTTGATAAGCCCACTTTAGTCATTATCTCTTGATTGATTGCAAAGTTAAAGGGAACATTGTATTCCCATACTGCACTTTCATTTTTCCTGACTGTTACCATATGACTGTTTTTGGTTAAATCAACAGTATACACCTTGTTATGGCTGCAAATATTATTCTCTGCCAAGCGAGCTCATAGTTTTGTTCCACACAAACCTTCATTTTCCTGGGGTTAATTGCTTTCCCCCCATTTGCTTAGTCATTTGTGTGTTTACATCCAGAATCTCCAGCATCACTGCCACAGGCCAGTCAATACGTTTTCCCTCTGGTCAGACACATCAGTTCCTTTTGATGTAGAGACTTGCTTCCCCATTTCCTGTGTCCTTGTTCCCATCTGGTCTGGTTTACTCTCTCAGTCACAGCTTTCCTGAGACTTTACCTATTTCCTGAATCCTATGTTGTCTTCTTTTTTTATTTACTCCCTCGTTTTTGTGGAGCATATCCTCTAGAAGTTTCCGAAGAAACTCTTCTTGAGTCCTTGGATGTCTACAAATGTCTTTTCTCAACTCTCAAAACAGAATGATAGTTTGTTTATGAAAGTCTAGGTCAGAGTTTATTTTCTCCATATTGAATATTGAAGAATTGTTCTTATTGTTTCTCGCTTTTAGAGGTGTTCTTGAGAATTCAATTGCCACTCTAATTTTTGATGCCTTTTATATGACCTGCTCTTTGCTCTGGAGGCTTTTAATGTCTTGTCTTTATCCCTTATTCTGAAATTTGACTTTCAGCTATTTGGGAAAAGAGAGGGAGACAGATCAAATGTATTGTTGATTTATTATATGACAGGTATAGTGCAAGGCATTGCATATACAATTTCATTTAATTGGGAAAGCCCTCTTAGCTGAATTTTTATACCTTCCCAACCTTGTTTGGATAATGGAGGTATCCTCCCGTACTCAGGCAGTTTCATTTGGAGGAAAAAGAATGACATGGAAACCCAGTGATTCAGTTGTGCTTACTTGATTACAGTCCTCCACTGCATCCCAGGCATTCATATGCTATGTTTTACTTCCTCTACCTTAATCTTTTTCTTCTCTCTTTCCTTCACAAAAATACTTTTTTTTTTAATTAATCAAGTCATATACGTGGTTATTGTTCCAGGAGTCAGTGATGTTCAGTGATGTGTCCATAGACTTCTCTCAGGAGGAGTGGGAGTGCCTGAATGATGATCAGAGAGATTTATACAGAGATGTGATGTTGGAGAATTACAGCAACCTGGTTTCAATGGGTAAGGACATCTGTCCATAGTAATTTAGATTCCGGCCTTGGAAGGCCTACTTCCTCCAATGTGAAATGCTCACCTGGCTTTCAAAAACCAGTCGAATTTTGACATCCTGTTCTCACAGGAATGTTCTGAATATGGTAGAGTTAGAAAAAGGAGGCTGCATTGAGTTTCGGGGGATGTTTTACATCTTCCGTTATGTTTCATAAGTCCGTTGTACCTCTCTTTGACTCTTCTCGTAGTGCCATGTCTTTCTTTATAATGAAGGGACTGGATTTGAATTCTAGGATATTCTCATGATAAATTTGTTTTGTCACTTCTTTTGTAAGCAGGGCATTCTATTTCTAAACCAAATGTGATCTCCTACTTGGAGCAAGGGAAGGAGCCCTGGTTGGTTGACAGAGAGCTAACAAGAGGCCAGTGGCCAGGTAAGTGAAGCACAGCAGGTAATGTGTGATTTGGCCAGTAGAGAGACTGCATCTTTTAGATGCTATCTGGGAAACTCTCCTCAAAGGCTTTTGGCCTGTTGTGCAAATGTAAGACCTTTTCTACATGAGCTTTCAAATGATCCTACCTTTCCCCCTTACCTAACACACTTTGCCTGCTTTTCTTCTCTTATTCTTCTCTCTCAGTTCTAACCAGCTGGTGTCCTCCTTTACCCCTCTAGTGATATTCCTTTCTATCCATATTTTGGGCCCATTTCCTTCCTAGCTTTTCATCCCCCTTTGTATTTAGTCTAATAAAAGCATCACTGTCTCCAGAAAGAGATTTTTTCCTGCACTGCCGGAGACTTATTTTCTTTTACTAAGTTTTTTTGGGATGGGGTTTATGCCCTCATTGATTCATTAATATTTTTTACCAACATCTACTGATTTTCTAACATGTATAAGGCACTCGGCTAGGTGCTGCAGAGTTTAAAAAAGGAATAAGCAATTTCAGAACTTACTGCCTAGTAGAAGTACTAGAACATGTCTACAAATAACTTCTACAAAATAGAACCACCATAAGTGAAGTTAAAATAGGGAGCTTAGCAGAAAGCGAGGGCTAACGATGTAGAAGAGGAGTTGATCCACATAGAAGTCATAGGGGGAGATTTTGGTTGTGAGCGTCATTGACTTTATATAGAGGGTTGGAAATAAAGGGCTTGTGTCTCCATGGAGAAGGTAAGAGCTGGCAAAGAGAGATTTGGTATGAAGGGGAGGAGAGCACATTCATTCATTTAGTTTATGTTTCTGGAGTGCCTATGGTATGCCCAGCACTATTCTCAACACTGAGGTTACAGTAATGAATAGAACATGCGTGATTGGGTGCAGTGACTCACGCCTGTAATCCCAGCCCTTCGGGAGGCTGAGGCAGGAGGATTGCCTGAGGTCAGGAGTTTGAGTCCAGCCTGGCCAACATGATGAAACCCCATCTCTACTAAAAAATACAAAAATCAGCCGGGTGTGGTGGCAGGCACCTATAATCCCAGCTACTCAGGAGGTTGAGGCAGGAGAATCACTTGAACCCAAGAGGTGGAGGTCACAGTGAGCCAAGATCATGCCACTGCACTCCAGCCTGAAAAAAAGAAAAAAAAGAACGTGCATAATCTGTGTTCCCACAGCCTACCCCACAGTGTAGGGAGAGAGATGAAAATAGATGAATATATAACATACCAGGTAATAGTAAATACTAAAAAGAAATAAGAAGTAGAGGAAAGGGATAAAGGATGATATTTTATGTGAAGAAGCAAGAGAAATTTACCATATCTTACCAAATGATATGGTAACATTTGGGCAGAGACCCAAAGAAGTACCACGGTAAGTCATTGTATATGGGCACGAGGCGGAAGACTGCTCCAGATGGAGGAACGCAGACCTTCAAAGGCCTGAGGCAACTGTGCATTGGCTGTGTTTGAGGAGCAGCACCAGAGGGCAGTGACTGGTAGCAGAGGGGTACATGGGTGGGAGATGAGATCAAAGAGGCAGGAGTGGGAAAGAGTGGGTCAGTTTATGTACAGTCTGCCATACAGGCCATGGGAAATCTTTTCATTCTAAGACGAGAAGTCATCAGAAGGCTTTGCACCTAGAAATGGCTTGATGCAACTTATTTTTTTGTTTGTGTTTTTTTTTTGAGACAGAGTCTTGCTCTGTTGCCCAGGCTGGAGTGCAGTGGCATGATCTCAGCTCACTGCAACCTCCACTTCCCAGGTTCAAGCGATTCTCCTGCCTCAGCCCCCTGAGTAGCTGGGATTACAGGCGCATGCCACCACGCCCGGCTAATTTTTTTGTATTTTTTTAGTAGAGATGGGGTTTCACCATGTTAGCCAGGATGATCTCGATCTCCTGACCTTGTGATCTGCCCACCTCAGCCTCCCAAAGCGCTGGGATTATAGGTGTGAGCCACCATGCCTGGCCATGTTTTTGTTTGAGATGGAGTCTTGCTCTGTCGCCCAGGCTGGAGTGCCGTGGCATGATCTTGGCTCACTGCAACCTCCACCTCCTGGGCTCAAGCGATTCTCGTGCCTCATCCTCCTGAGTAGCTGGGATTACAGGCCACCACGTCCAACTAATTTTTGTATTTTAGTAGAGACAGTGTTTCACCATGTTGGCCAGGCTGGTCTCGAAATCCTGACCTCAAGTAATCCTCCCACCTCAGCCTCCCAACGTACTGGGATTACAGGTGTGAGCCACTGCACCTGGACTTGATGCAACATGTGTTTTAAAAGGATTTCCCTAACTGCTTTGTAGGAGACAAGGTTGGAAGCAGAGTGGCTGTTTAGCAGATTTTTATAGTAGTCTGGTTGGGATACAGTGATGGCTCAGAGACCATTGAAATGTTATCAGTGGCAGTGGAAGGAAGTGGTGGGTTTGAAATCTTTTCAAGGAAGAGTTAGCAGGATTCAGTCTTGGAGTGTAAGAGGAAAAGGATTCATGCTTTTTAGGGAGAGCCTATGGAAGAATGGGCTTTGTAATTACTGAAATGGGGAAAGAGTAGATTTGGGGGTTGCAAAATCAAGGGTGGGTTCGCTTATGTTAAGCTTCAGTTGCTTATTGGACGCAGCATAGATGCCATGCAGGCAGTTCAGTATAGAAGTCTGGAACTGGGAGGTCAGATCAGCGTTGGAGGAAAATTTGGAGAGCCTTCAATATAGAGATATAGAGTCAAGCCTGTAATCCCAGCACTTTGGCAGGCCGAGATGGGTGGATCACGAGGTCAGGAGATCGAGACCATCCTGGCTAACACAGTGAAACCCCGTCTCTACTAAAAAAATACAAAAAACTAGCCGGGCGAGGTGGCGGGCGCCTGTAGTCCCAGCTACTCGGGAGGCTGAGGCAGGAGAATGGCGTGAACCCGGGAGGTGAAGCTTGCAGTGAGCTGAGATCTGGCCACTGCACCCCAGCCTGGGCGACAGAGCAAGACTCCGTCTCAAAAAAAAAAAAAAAAAAAAAAAAGAGATATAGAGTCTTGTGACTGGATGAAATCTCCTAGGGAATAAATATAGCAAGGACAGAAACCTGAAGCACCCTAATACCTAGAGGTTTACAGCAGGAGAAGATATGGCAAGGAAATGTAGGTTGAGAAGACAGCAGGATGGAAGGTGAACTCAGAAACTCAGAAAGAAAAGTACCAGAAAGATCTGGCCATGAAGATTAGATAGGTATGTAATAGTTTCTACCTGCATTTTCTCATATAATTCTGTTTTTTTCTTTTAGTACAGTTCAAGTACTTATACTTACATAGTTAGGCTGCTTTCTAATCAATGCTTGTTTGTAAAAGCACCATTCTTTATGTAAAAGCACAACTTTATGCATATAGATTTTTCTGTATTTGCTTAGGATAGATTCTCAGAGACAAGATATTTCTGAAACTTTCAGACACAATGTTTGGTAGTATTCATTTCACTGTACTCTTTAAGAATGGTTAATTTTTATTTGAAATAAATGTTTTCGCTCATTTATTTTACAAGTCATAGAACGTTGTTTTTCATTGTGAAAATTTTCAAAACTACATGCCACTCATCTACCCCTATTGTTGCACAAATATTTTCTTTTTTTTTCTTTGTTTTCGAGATGGAGTTTTGCTCTTGTTACCCAGGCTGGAGTGTAATGGTGTGATCTCAGCTCACTGCAACCTCCGCCTCCCGGGTTCAAGCGATTCTCCTGCCTCAGCCTCCCAAGTAGTGGGGATTACAGGCACCCGCCACCATGCCTGGCTAATTTTATTGTATTTTTCATAGAGATGGGGTTTCACCAGCTTGACCAAGCTGATCTCGAACTCCTGACCTCAAGTGATCCACTTGCCTTGTCCTCCCAAATTCTGGGATTGCAGATGTAAGCCACCGCGCCCCACCGCAGATAATTTCAAGTAAATCCAGAACCTCATGTCATTTCACCCTTGCATAATCTCATTATGTAATTCTAAAAAATATGGATATTTTCTCCGTTATATAACTTTAATGCAAAGTTATATAAATTTTACAGTGATTTCTTTGTATACTGGACTGCTTTATTGTCGTTATATTGAGTACTTGTGAGAGTGGACGTTTTCACCATAGCATAATTAACTTGTTCATTTCTATATTTCATACTTTTAATCTGTTACTGAGTTTATTCTTTCAGTTTTTATGGACTTTGCAAAATAATAATATTTACCTATTGGTTTCCAGAGGGTGCTTTTACTTTTTTTTTGAAACAGGGTCTCACTCTTGCCCAGGCTGGAGGGCAGTGGCACTATCATGGCTCACTGCAGTCTTGACCACCTCTTAGGCTCACGTGATCCCCCCACCTCAGCCTCCTGGGTAGATGGGACTACAGGTGCATGCCACCACACCTGGTTAATTTTTTGTATTTTTTGTAGAGATGGGGTTTTACCATGTTGCCCAGGCTGGTCTGGAACTCCTGGGCTCAAGTGATCCCACTGCCTCAGGCTCCAAAAGTGCTGGGATTACAGGCATAAGCCACTGCTCCCAACCTAGCTGCCTAATATTTTAGTTTTTTTGAGACAGAGTCTAGCTCTGTGATCCAGGCTGGAGTGTAATGGCGTGATCTGGGTTCACTGCAACTTCTGCCTCCAAGATTGAAGCAATTCTCATGCCTTAGCCTCCCGAATTGCAAGGATTACAGGCATGCACCACCATACCCAGCTAATTTTTGTATATTTAGTAGAGACAGGGTTTTGCCATGTTGGCCAGGCTGGTCTCTAACTCCTGGCCTCAAGTGATCCTCCCACCTGAACCTCCCAAAGTGTTAAGATTACAGGAGGGAGCCACCTCGCTCAGCTGAGCTGCCTAATTTTAACTTTTCTTCAACACTTGTATTTGTTTACAATTTCACCAGCAGTATATGAACATTCCCATTGTTGCACATGCTTCCTAATATACGGTATTATCAAACTTTGATTTTTTTTTTTTTTTTTTTGAGATGGAGTTTCGCTCTTATTGCCCAGG